AACCAACAAAACCCCCAAACCCCCCCCCCCCCCCCCCAAATCCCCAGTTTTCAGCAAAGATTAAGACAATAGGAATAGAGACAATGCTAAAAGGCTGGGCCACTTACATGTCTCTCTGCTTGATCTCTCTGAGCTTGAAGGTCACGTTGATTCTTCTCGGCCAGTGCTTTTGCCTGAACATATAGGCTCAGTGATTAAAATCTGTGGAACTAATGTGCAGTAATAAACAAGCATCTGATGTAACTCTCAAAACTGTCAATAAAATCATGTCATGCAAAACATACAGCCCGCTCCTGAGTCCTCTGGTGGCGTTCCATTCGGGCTTTTCGCCTTTCTTCAGTTTCCCCTTCAACCTCTTGGAACTCTCCAGATGATCCAGTACCTCCTTTACAAAGCAGAAGTAGTTCAGCCAATTCACAACTAAAGAGAATCATCTTATCATGAATAAACATTCTCATGGGCAGCATAACTACCTCCAAAAATCGAAGTTAAATCATCGACAACATTTGTTGTTGAAGATGTTTTTCTCACGCTAGACGTAGCCCCAACAGATGTCCTTCTAACTGGTTCAGGCCCTCCCTTGTTCTGGCTGTCAGAGAAAGGATCCTGTAATATAGGTTCAGAAAATTAACCCACTGATACCACAACAAGTCAGTGAATGAATGAAAGCTTTTGGTCCTACCGAAGTGTTTGTCCTAGGTCTTTGTGCACTGGTTGTTCGAGTACTGAAGAATGATTCGAGATCATTTTCACTCTTTTGTTGATTTGCCCTGGCAGCAGCGGCGGCGGCGGCCCTCTCTCGAGCCTCTGCAGCAGCTCTTTCTACAGCAGCTCGTTCTGCTCTAAATCGAGCATCAGCTTCAGCCCTTGCAACAGCAGCTCTTTCCCGGGCTTCCCTCTCCCTAACTTCAGCATTTGCCCTTTCCCGGGCTTCTGCAGCAGCCCTTTCTGCCCTTTCTTTTGCCTCTGCTGCTGCCCTTTCACGTGCTTCGGCATGTGCTCTCTGCACAGCAGCCCTTTCTGCTCTTTCTCGAGCCCCGGCAGATATTTTTTCCACAGCAGACCTTTCAGCTTTCAGCCGAGCTTCGGTAGCTGCTCTTTCACGTGCCTCTCTAGTAGCCCTTTCCACTGCTTGTCTGCCCTTTTCCCTTTCTCTCTCAATCTCCCTTGCTCGCTCCCTCTCTCTTTCAAGCCTCCTTTGCTCTCTTTCTTTTTCCTCCCTTTCCCTCTCAATTTCACGAGCCCTCTCCCTCTCTTTCTCAAATCTTCTCTGCTCTCTCTCTTCCTCCTCCTTTTCCCTCTGTTGTCTCTCACGATCAAATCTCTCATGTCTTTCCTTTAATTCTCTCTGCTGAGCATCTTGCATATCTTTATCCAGCTGACCAGCTTCTTTGTTTCTAGCAGCCTTTAGATATTCCCTCTCCCTCATTTGGCGGAATTTAGCCTCTGCTTTATCCACGGCCTCCTTCATAGCAGCAGAAGCAGCAGAAGAGGAAGTTTTATCTGCATCATCACCAGGTGGAATGTCTGCAAATTCATTAACATTATTTTGAGTCCTTGCTGTTACAAAATCCTCAAGTTCATCAATTTGAGAAGTCACTGAATTCCTCGAAGCATGGTCTGGTCTAGTATTTTGAGAGTCTGAAGTGGAATTTTGGAAAGAAGGATACTCATTGAACTTCTTTCTAGAGTTTGTGGAAGAAAAAGAGCCAAACTCTGACTTTGATATTCTTGGTGGTCTCGGAGGTGGGGGTCTTGAAGGCGGTAGTGCACTTGTGGGTTGAGTAAAAAGAGGGATTTCTGACACAGTAAGCCATACATCATCAGATGATTCAGAGACCTCTTCAGATCTGGGAGAGGAATTTATCTCATTAGCATTGATATCCACATATGAAGGAGGAGAGACATTTTGACCAAAAGATCTATGAAAATCTGTTGAAGCAGCAGGCATATCAAATATGGCTTCATGAGATTCCTGATAATCATCTGGTGTCTTCTTCTGTGAGTGGCCCACAGCATTCTCCAAGGGATATTTGTTAACTGATTCTTTACTCACAGAGGAATATGCACCACCTGAGCTTGATCTTGATCTTGTTCTTAAAGGGCTCTTATTCTCCCCTCCCTTGTTGATCTCAGGAGGCACAGATTTCCCAAGATCATCAAAGTGATCTAGGTCATCAAATACTGCCATATTTACAGATGAACTATCAATCTTAGTGTTTCCAGTGTTACTGATTTTACTAATTTCTTCCAATGGGTCTGTG